CTCGAGCAGGTGTCTGCCTTGATGCTAGAGGTTCCATTCATTCCAGGTAAAGGGCTGGAATGTTTTCAGCATGAAATTGGATTTCTAGTAAGTTTCCTTGTCCTGTGTTGTGAATTGGTGCCGTGTGCTTATTGGAAACCGTAAAAAACCTTGGCAGCTGGACATTGAAAAGATTAGCCTACAGCGATGCCCCTCTGTGTTTTTCCACAGGACTTTACTTTCTCTGAGTTTTTTAACATTCAGAGGTTTGAACGTGTCACATCGTTGCACATGTAGTAAAACATAAAGTGCTCTTTCTTCTTCTAACTCAAGTCTGGAGTCTGAAAGGCTCAGCACGTGCAGAACTCTGTTGCACCGTTTAGTGTACTTGACTAATTTGGGTAGATTTTACTCAAAATTTTGCACGGGCAGCGGCATTGGGCTACTCTTTTTTATTTCCAACTGCCAAGGGATTTTTAAGTGTGCAAGAATAGACATGGGCATCCAAGCCCACGTGAAAAAATTCCTAGCCTTCATTGGGGCCTGAACCCAGGACCTTCACCACTCGAGGCAAGCACTACACCTCGAGACCACTCAGCCCCTACCACTACAGACTATGCAAGTGTAATAGTTACTCACCAGTTATTTGTGTGGGTTCCGCGGCCCTATTCATGGGGGGGGGGGGGGTGCAGAACAGGGGATAGACCTCCCCCTCCCCCCCATGCACGCTGCACAGAGTAACTAATTAAAGGAGTTTTGTTTAAAGTTCAGAGTGTGTCTGTCTGCAGCTGAGAAACCAACAGTCTGCATACAAATAAACCAGGTCCATAAAACAGATCTGCACACTATAGTCATGTTTTGGAATCAAACTAAAGTCCAGAAATGGATGAACAAACAACTAGGACTCTCTGCCAGAGTTGACAGCCGGTGATGTCTTTTCTAATATTTGATTTTTGTTTGCTTTATACTCTTGGTTATTTCATATTCTAAAGATTATAAGTATGCCTCATGTTTGTGAGAGAAATCATATTTTGTATGCCTCATGTTTGTGAGAGAAATCATATTTTGTATGCCTCACGTTTGTGAGAGAAATCATATTTTGTATGCCTCACGTTTGTGAGAGAAATCATATTTTGTATGCCTCATGTTTGTGAGAGAAATCATATTTTGTATGCCTCATGTTTGTGAGAGAAATCATATTTTGTATGCCTCACGTTTGTGAGAGAAATCATATTTTGTATGCATCTCGTTTGTGAGAGAAATCATATTTTGTATGCATCTCGTTTGTGAGAGAAATCATATTTTGTTTGTTGTTGCTAACTACTCTTCTCAAGTGATGCCGTGTGCTGTTTGGAAGAATTCTTGTCGTTTGTTTTGAACTGATATTTCGTGCTTATCAGAAAAAGCTCATATTTTATTTGCTGTGTTTATGAAACAAATATTTTGTTTCATTGTATGTTCTGGCTTGGTTCTGCGCGTTTTTCTAGCAGAAATCATCTGTTGTGGTTTTGTTTATATATCTATATTTAGGTGTCTATGATAAAACCGATGAACGGCCTGCTGTGTAACAGAACGAGGAAGTGACTAGTGACTGGCTTCAAACAAGATGATAAGGCCTACACACCCACGCCTTGCTAGTTGTGTTAATATAGTCATTAACGTAAAAGAGAGGAAAGAAATGAGAAAACCCAGACAAACCTGGATAGATCCAATCGCGAATCATCCGGAGGTCCCTATCAAACACGTAGTTACAGCCATAGTAACGCTTGCCCAGGCCATCGTTGGCCCAGGGCGGAGCGGGGTAGCCGTCGTCTCTAAAACACACCTGCCACAGACCCACACTGGGGATCCCTGTCTCCCGGGTTTTCTCAGCCTGCTGCCAGTAGGGGAACGCTTCAGCAAAGATGATTAAAACGATGGAGATGGCGATCAGAATTGTTCCAACTATAGTAAATCCTGAAACGCGAGCTGCGGCGCTCGCCATCTTACACACACAAAGTCCTGGGCGCTATCTTTAGCCTGTCAACACAAGCCAGGTGTGACGGCCGGAAGCCGTTCTTTCTTACCTGTGTCAGGTGTAGCAACAACACTGGGCACTTGTGTACGTGACTAACTGGGTCATCTGTGTGTGATATTTACTGACACAGACAGATACATTGACAATGGAGTTGAAAGCTAAAGAGACAGAGATGCTGAGGTACAGATGATAAGGGCGGTGTTACAAGCAACTGAGCACTCTTTTTTAAAGTTTCAGGTTCTGGTAAAATTCTTCACCCAGGGTGAATCTATTTCGGCTTGGAGTGACAATTTTTTTGTAAATGGCCAAACATTTTAATGCTCCACCCGAAGAACGGTCACTCGTCTACAGAAAGCATTTAGGCGGGGAACCACTAACATTGTTGGGAACCATCCTAACTGAAAAAAAATTAGATAAAAATGAATATTTGAAAGGAAGAATTTCGCAACACTTCTGTCTAGATGAAGGATTTTATAGAAACAATTTTAAAATGTTAACGCCTAAAGCTGAACAAACCTTCATCGACTATCTGTCAAAACAACTTTTGATAAGTGGTTGAGATCTGTGAAAGATGGTAAATCACTTGAATTGTTGAACAATCTTTTAATTAGAAATAAGGGGCTATCTAGTGTGCCAAGCAGTATGATGTCTTTATCTTCTTCTTTGCGTACACCAGCTGTACACTCTGGCGGAAAGTTCTGGTTGCTCGTCCATTACTGAACTGCAGTCCTGCTCCAGAACCTGAGTGTTGCGTGTGCATCAGTTTTACAGATCTCATTCTCTTGAATACAGACTGTTGGTTCCTTGCCTCTCCGGCAGATGCACTCCGACTTCCAAGAAAGCTCCCCAATTAGTCGAATCTTACGACATGCTTTTGGGGAGGCAGTGGACCTATTCTTGTTTTCCCCACAATGGGGCCCCGGAAACCACACGGGGGGGGGGATGTCTTTATTAATTGAACAGAAGCCATCTACAATTAAATAGATGGAAGTTTCAGGGGCTGCATACTTTCATGCCCACAGAAAAGGCCCAGACGCAAACTGTGGGGAAGGCAGTACCATCTCTTTACATGAAGAAACATCACCACCACGAGGCAACCAGAAAAATCTGAAAATACTACACAAGTCACAGATTCCGGAGAGATAAGGGTCCATGGTAACATGTCCCTCTTGTGGGAGCATGGGGAACGCCAGTGGTGTGACGCTAATCCTGGATATGAGAAACATTATCTAAAGAAAGAAAGAAGATGGGAAAGAAAGAGAACAGCTAACTACCCATTTGATCGCCGCCTTTGCGACTCAGTTGATCACTTGCAGGAAACGTGCTTGCGTCTGGAGAAACACCACCAGAGTGGTGCAGAGGGGACATCCGACAGCAGGGCAGCGACAGCGGGGGAGCGACAGCAACAGCAGAGGGAGCGACAGCGGCGAAAGCGACAGCAGGGGAAGCGACAGCAGCGGAAGCCACAGCAGCGGGAGCGACCGCGACAGCAGTGAAAGCGGCGAAAGCGACAGCAGCGAAAGCGACAGCAGCGAAAGCGACTGCAGCGGAAGCGACATCTTGACACATAAATACAAAATTATGACTATTTACTTAAAGAGGAAAGTCCAAGATTTTAAATCATCTCATTAACACACTGGTGTACAAGATATGGCAGGTACAAAACCAGAGGGTTGTGAGCTGTCGTGTGTCAAATCCTTACCACCTGAAAAAAATAATTATGTGCTGATCTAAATACTTTTCCAATGCTCCTGACCACCGCATTTCACTAATTCCTAATATGTCAATGTTCATTCTCTTCACTTCCATCTTGATGTTATCCAGCTTTCCGTTTTGTACGAGGGTTCTGACATTCAATGTACCAATCTTCACTGGACTTTACACTCTGCTTCACACTGGACTTCACACTGGACCTCACACTGGACTTTACACTAGACCTCACACTGGACTTTACACTGAACTTTATACTAGACCTCACACTGGACTTTACACTGAACTTTACACTAGACCTCACACTGGACTTTACACTGAACGTTACACTAGACCTCACACTGGACTTTACACTGAACTTTATACTAGACCTCACACTGGACTTTACACTAAACTTTACACTAGACCTCACACTGGACTTTACACTGAACTTTACACTAGACCTCACACTTGACTTTACTCTGAACTTTATACTAGACCTCACACTGGACATTACGCTGAACTTTACACTAGACCTCACACTGAACTTTACACTGAACTTTACACTAGACCTCACAGTGGACTTTACACTGAACTTTATACTAGACCTCACACTGGACTTTACACTAGACCTCACACTGAACTTTACACTAGACCTCACACTGGACCTCACACTGGACTTTATACTGAACTTTATACTAGACCTCACACTGGACTTTACACTAGACCTAACACTGGACCTCACACTAAACCTCACACTGGACTTTACACTGGACCTCACACTGGACCTCACACTAGACCTCACACTGGACTTTATACTGGACTTTACATTAGACCTCACTCTGGACTTTATACTGGACTTTACACTAGACCTCACACTGGACTTTATACTGGACTTTACACTAGACCTCACACTGGACTTTACACTAGACCTCACACTGGACTTCACACTGGACCTCACACTGGACCTCACACTAGACCTCACACTGGACTTTATACTGGACTTTACACTAGACCTCACACTGGACTTTACACTAGACCTCACACTGGACCTCACACTAGACCTCACACTGGACTTTACACTGAACTTTATACTAGACCTCACACTGGACTTTACACTGAACTTTATACTAGACCTCACACTGGACTTCACACTGGACCTCACACTAGACCTCACACTAGACTTCACACTGGACCTCACACTAGATCTCACACTGGACTTTATACTGGACTTTACACTAGACCTCACACTGGACTTTATAATAGACTTCACACTAGACCTCACACTGGACTTTATACTGGACTTTACACTAGACCTCACACTGGACTTTATACTGGACTTTACACTAGACCTCACACTGGACTTTATACTGGACTTTACACTGGACCTCACACTGGACTTTATACTGGACTTTACACTAGACCTCACACTGGACTTTATACTGGACTTTACACTGGACCTCACACAAGACCTCACACTGGACTTTATACTGGACTTTACACTAGACCTCACACTGGACTTTATACTGGACTTTACACTAGACCTCACACTGGACCTCACACTGGACTTCACACTGGACTTTACACCCGACCTCACACTGGACCTCACACTGGACCTCACACTAGACCTCACACTGGACCTCACACTGGACTTTATACTGGACCTCACACTGGACCTCACACTGGACTTTATACTGGACCTCACACTGGACCTCACACTGGACCTCACACTGGACCTCACACTGGACTTTATACTGGACCTCACACTGGACCTCACACTGGACTTTATACTGGACTTCACTCTGGACCTCACACTGGACCTCACACTGGACCTCACACTGGACCTCACATTAGACCTCACACTGGACCTCACACTGGACTTTATACTGGACCTCACACTAGACCTCACACTGGACCTCACACTAGACCTCACACTAGACCTCACACTAGACCTCACAGTGGACCTCACACTGGACCTCACAGTGGACCTCACACTAGACCTCACACTAGACCTCACACTGGACCTCACACTGGACCTCACACTAGACCTCAAACTGGACCTCACACTGGACCTCACACTAGACCTCACACTGGACCTCACACTGGACCTCACAGTGGACCTCACACTGGACCTCACACTAGACCTCTCACTGGACCTCACACTGGACACACTGGACCTCACAGTGGACCTCACACTGGACCTCACACTAGACCTCACACTGGACCTCACACTGGACCTCACACTAGACCTCACACTGGACCTCACACTGGACTTTATACTGGACCTCACACTGGACTTCACACTCGACCCCACACTGGACTTCACACTAGACCCCACACTGGACTTCACACTAGACCCCACACTGGACTTTACACTAGACCCAACACTGGACTTCACACTGGACCTCACACTGGACCTCACACTGGACCTCACAATGGACTTCACACTGGACCTCACACTGGACCTCACACTGGACCTCACACTGGACCTCACACTGGACTTTACACTATACTTTACACTAGAATTCACACTGGACTTTATACTGGACTTTACACTAGACCTCACACTGGATTTTACACTAGACCTCACACTGGACTTTACACTAGACCTCACACTGGACCTCACACTGGACCTCACACTGGACTTTACACTAGACCTCACACTAGACTTTTCACTGGACCTCACACTGGACTTTACACTAGACCTCACACTGGACTTTACACTAGACCTCACACTGGACTTTACACTAGACCTCACACTGGACATTACACTAGACCTCACACTGGACATTACACTAGACCTCACACTGGACTTTACACTAGACCTCACACTGGACTTTACACTAGACCTCACACTGGACTTTACACTGGACTTTACAATAGACCTCACACTGGACTTTACACTAGACCTCACACTGCACTTTACACTGGAACTCACACTGGACTTTACACTAGACCTCACACTGGACTTTACACTAGACCTCACACTACACTTTACACTAGACCTCACACTGGACTTTACACTAGACCTCACACTGGACTTTACACTAGACCTCACACTAGACTTTACACTAGACCTCACACTGGACTTTACACTAGACCTCACACTGGACCTCACACTGGACTTTACACTAGACCTCACACTGGACTTTACACTGGACTTTACACTAGACCTCACACTGGACTTTACACTAGACCTCACACTGGACTTTACACTGGACCTCACACTGGACTTTACACTAGACCTCACACTGGACCTCACACTAGACCTCACACTG